GTAATAATTACGATTGTGGCAAAATTTCATTGGATTTCTCCCAAGAAGAAAGCCCAGGCCGAAAGCAATAAATGCTTCGATCTCGCCGTTCCTCCTTAGAGTTCTTACCGCTTAGACCGCTTAGACCGCTTAGATTGCTTAGTTCTTAGAGTTTTAGACTTCTTAGAGTTCTTAGAGTCATAGTCTCGCTACTATATCACTTCGTAAAACCGCCGTGCTAACCGCTTAGTGAAAACCGCTATAAAACGAATCTTTTCGAGAAGTGCCGAGAAAATCGCCGAGATTTTCCATCACCGCGATTCCAACTACAATTTGGAAAAGGTGACCGCATTTAATATTCTGTTAATCTAATATTTAATTAATTATATTTTCTGACTTTGTAACTGAGCATATTAAAGAAAATTCTTTTGTTAAATTACAAAGAAACGGAGTTCTCTTTACTGTCGTGTATCACATCAACCGTGTACCGTTCTCTCACTCGAATCTTTCCGCGCGGTGCATTCCCGCACATTTTCTGGTCCTTCGAGCCGGATATGATTCGCAAGAAATATTGTTAGACAAACGCCGTATCACTTTAAAAATTTCACGTCAGCGCTCTCGCTCTGATTCGCTTTCGCACATACTTATAGTACTTATACATTACTAATATGTCGACTATATATCTAATATAGAAAATTGTATGTACATTATACTATGATAATTCTAACATTATTGTAACATATAACAAAACATTATTAGTGAATATAAATTATAATTATATTTTATATTTATTATAATGTACATATACACAATAATATACCCAAAATATAATTTTAATATTGCATATATCATTAATTCACTAACATGTTTATATGTCTTCACTAATATGTCAATAATAAAATAATATTTTTTGTGTCATTGTATGTGTACACATACATTATAATACACATAAAATGTAATTGTAATTCGTATTCATAAATGTCTTTTTATATACAACGTTAGAATTAAATTTTATATATCATTATACACATTCTATTATATATTATAATTAGAGAATATCTGCATGAATATCTATATGTATATATATTATGATATTCATTTATGATAATATATTATCGTGACTTAAAATGGCATTGGATGTAAGAAAAAAGTGCTATTACGGCTTCGTATCGATATATCTATTAATTAAAAATCTGTATTTTATGTATATTACAGACTTTTAGTACTGGTGATATATATTAGAACACGGCCTACATTGCATGTGTATATAATACAACTAAATATGAATATAATGCAACTAAATTTCTAAGGTCCGATTCTACAAATAGAGAGATTAACTTCAATTATGTTTATTTTTTTTTCAATTCTAAAATTGGAAAATTTTCCAAAATAAATCTTACATTGTGGAACCGACCCTAATACACGTCCCTGTTAAGATGGTAATGTAGGAAACGGAATAAAAATATCGATAATTAATCGATCGAATTTCCTGCATGATCATATTAACTCAGAGGGCGTAAGCAGCTTATACATTGGAAATGAAAACCTGTAATATCGACCTTGATCAACTTCGGCCTTCGCTCCAGCATCCCCTTAAGGCTAATCCTACAATGTGCTTTTTGTTTTCTGTTTCTTGCTGTTTGTCTCTTGTCTTGACCAAAAAGGTAAGAGACAAACAGCAAGAAACAGGGAACAAAGAACACATTGTAGAATTAACCTAATGTGCTTTTAGTTTTCTTGCTTTTTGCTATTTTTTACATCTTATCTTTTTACTTCTTATTCGGTTTTTTGTTTTGTCGCCCGAAATAAAAGTTAACGGAAGAAACAGGAAACACGTAGCAAGAAATACAATTGTCGATAAAGTGATTGGAAAGGGGGAAAAAGCAACAGATAAAAGAAAGAAACAGGAAACAAAGAGTACATTGTAGAATAGACTTAAAGCCTATTAAGTAGAACATGCTTTTTCCCCATTTTATCAACAATTGTGTTCCTTGCTACATGTTTTCCCCTGTTTCTGACGTTCGTTAATTTTTATTTCGAGCGACAAAACAAAAAACTGGATAAGAAGCAAAAAGAAAGAAAAAAGAAAACAGAAAACAAAGGCACATTGTAGAATATGTTTAAATAAACGTTTTTTAATGAAAAAAAAGCGTACTTAATTACGGTAAGCGTAATTAATTAATATTTTTAACATTTTTTAAAATATTAAAAAAAAATATTTTTAAAAACATTTTTAAAAATATTGTCTGCTGATTGAGTCCATTCAAAATTGTTTACTTATCGATATTTCTTCAAACATAAAATAATTAAGAATTTTTATCTTATAAGTTTTATTCTAAAATTACCTTGTTAGTAGTGGAAATGCATTTATTTAATATAAATTAAAGAGATAATAGAATTCGTGAACATACACATGCATGAATTGTACTTCTTTCTTTAACTAAAATATAAACTAATAAATTTCATTATATTAACCTATTATTTGAATTTTGAACACAATTTCTTGCTGAAACTGTACTATATTTTTATGATTACATGTAACAGCATTTGGGCGCAATTTCTGCAGTTTTTGCTTTCAACAGATGATAAGATACATCATATTTTAGATCTGCCGCGTTTTTGCATCACGTGACGGCAAGCTTACCCGATTTTTACTGTATTTTTATATCAATACTTGATATGATAAATTGTATGATAAGTTGTTAATATGATAGTTTTGCTGTGTTTCCACTGTCACTATGGAATAGACAATGTTCGATTTTTGTTGCATTCTTATTATTTTATATTGACAAACTGTGCTGTTAAGTTTCATGAAGAAGCAGTGGGTTTTGAGAAATCTGCCGCATTATCATGACCGAGTTTACTGGCATACTGCCAGTGTACTGCTAGCATTTTGCTATCTGGATATAAATACACACATGCACGCACACGCACGCACGCACGCACGCACCCACCCACCCACACACACACACACACACACACACACACACACACGCACACTATACATATATATTTTTCTTTAAGTGTTCTTCTCTAAATTTAATTTTGTAATGAAAAATTTAGATACGTTTTTTAAATATTAAGGGGGTCCTATCAAAAGTCTTTGTTATACAAAAATTACATGATTTAATCGATAAAATAGGAGGCATTAGGATCCCCTTAAATATCAAATACTGTTAAGTAATGAGTAAAATTGTTTTTAAGTTATACTCAATTCCATTTCTATAAAAATTTAACTTGGGATTTAACTTAATTGCAAACATAATTATACAAAGAATTTAGAAGTTGTAATAAGTAAAACAATTCTCTATGACTTTTATGTTAAGAAAAAATCGACTCAAAATTATCTACGACTCAAATAAACTTTATAAAATATCCCTATATTACACATACAATTAAAATACATCATATAGTTTATATTTCATAACAATAGGTCTACATATTTCTATATACACACACATTCTATAGTCTTTGTTTATTCTGATAGCAAAATGTTAGCAGTTTGTGAACAAACTTGTACTAAACTTGACCAGATTCTCAATATAAAAACCATAACCATATATGCATTTGGCTATCTGTCGATAGATCCTGCTGACTTGTTATGCCAGCAGATTGAAGCAGAAAACGAACAAAATTTGCACGCACCGGGAATCTGACAACAGACTGGCAGCGGAAACCAAACAGGAACTGCAAAATCTTGCTGTTTCTGTCATCAATCTGCTAATAAAACATGTCAGCAGATTTCGTCCTATTTCTGAGCAGTTTGCTGTTAGATAATGCAACTGTGGAATTTGTTAGTTTTCTGCAATCAAAAATTGGTAGCATGCTGTATTTAAAGTCTGTCTTCGCAAGCTTTGCTATATCTAGGTTATCACAATCATATTTTTTTTCTCTAGATCATATCTTGATGAGAATCTATATCATATTTTAATCCGGTGTGAGTTAGGTGATAAAGTATCTAAAAGTACCTAAATCTAAAAGCATATCATAAGACACAACGGATCTTCTACTAAATAAAAATTACAAGTAAAATATTCAAAATTATAAGAAAATTATGTTTATTAAAATTTTAATCAAATTAGTAACAATTTTAAACATTAAAAGAGATCAATGTGTCGGGTGTGACATACTTAGCTCACGCCGGGTTAACATATAACATATGATATTTCAAATGTTTATTTCATTTACATTTCACAAACTATTTTACGATTATACAGTTTTTAGTAAGTTTTTAGTAAGTTGTGATATTGTCCAATCTTACCTTGAAGTGATATTTCTTCGTCATATCATCCACACTGTCTTTATTGATAAACTCATTATATACATGTGATTTCCGTAATCTTTCCAAATTTAAGAGCACTATCCCACTATTATAACCAGGATATCCGCCTTTATGACGAGGTTCTCCAAACATTGTCGTTGGATGTTTATTACGATATAAATACAAAACATGTCGGTAAACTGGCGTGAGTTCTGGAGCCAAACCAAACAAAGCTTCTTTTCCAAACTTGTTAAATTCTTCGAACAAGTCCTTCACATCTCTACGAAATTTTGTATCTGCATCAAACATTATGGCAAGTTTCTGATGATTGGGTGCAATTCTGTGCAAACCGAGCGAAATGAAGAACAATGCATCAGAGTAATATGTTCCTGGTTTGCTACTAAAATGTGGCGACATAACTGATACAATATCTTCCAATTTTGCAGCTAATTTGTGTACATTGTAATAAAATACCTGAGAATAAATAAAGGTTTCAATATTTCAAGTATAAGTTTCAAATAAATAAAAAAAAGAACGAAATAAAGGCAGTTATAAATAGTATCTCGCAAATAAATTGTAATAATTTTATGTACAATATTTTAAGACATAATATCAATAAATACATAAGTATATATGTATATAGTTTAAATTTTGTATATAACACAATACAACATACATATTTTTTTAATACTTTTTTATATTCAGGATAATAAAAACACTTTAATAGCAATACTATATATGTAAGCAAACATACATTTGCTTTGATATTTTGATTCATTAGAAATAAGATACAAGGACATACTTTCATAAATTTTCCGGTGCTGATCAGAACATTTTTTATAACATTTTCAGCTATGTTTTGACTATTATCATCACTTATCACATGAAAAGTAATATTTATGGAAGCAAATCTGAGCAAAGATTCTGTGAACACTTGGAATTTCCGTCTCATGGGCGAGTTTGAGGCAACTTTGGTAAAAATACACCATATGTTATAATAATTTGTCTGATTTCGTGGCAAAATGCGCGCTGTTGAAGACAAATAATTAACAGAATAAACAGTCACTGCTGAAGGAGTCGTAAGGTTTGCCAAGCTCGCATTTTTTGTTTGCAGATTGAATACAATCCAGCGTCTTCCATCAGACGTCTGATAACAATATAGGGCTACCAAGAGTAACGCGAGGATCGTCAACCTCAGCAGCACCTTGAGTAACAAGGGCATTTAATATATATCCTTTATTTTCATAACCTAAAAAAACAAACGAATTTTTTCAACAAAATAAAAATAAACTATAAAAATAAAAATAGAATATCTAGGTCGTGCTTAAAAAATGACGATCCTATTTTATATTTATTTTCTAATTTTTACTAATTTATTTCGATTAGTTAATGCAATCAAATAATTTTTAATTTTAACTTTATGCTAAACTAACCTAACCTAATTCGCTTAAAAGTTTCTTTTAAACTAGAAAAAATTAATATCAGATTGTGAACATAAAAAACATTACGTGAGCATGATCGGTATCTTCGTTACCATATCATTATTTTGTTACCTGATTTAAGGTCCATTTACAATAGAATCTGCAGTAGACAATAAAATAGTAGGTCTTCTTTTTTCTTCTTCATTTATTGGCTCTCGCTTCCAAAAAAAATGATACGGCTAGATTACGAAAGAAGTAGGACGTTGGCAATAGCGCAATTTCTACAATCATGGGGTGTGATTATATAGCGCAGTACGCGGTACGTGGTACGATTCAAATGTACACTCAACGACTAAAAGGTTGTAACATCTTTTTTAATAGGTTTTGGAATGCTGTCTGCTCACCGAGCGATTAGTTCTTACTAGAGAGCCTACAATCAGAGTGATACACCATACACATACAGAGTGATACATCATTTGTGATTGGTCTACCATGTTTTAACCATTCCCTCCAATTTTTTAAACGCATTATTTTCTAAATTTTGAATTCATGCTAAAAAATGCTCAAAAATTGTGACAAATTAAAAAATGATAATAAATAAATATTGTATATAAAATAATAAAACTTTTATATACAATATATTATTTATTATAAAATTTCATTTATTTTATACTATTGCAATATTGTACATTTTGTAATATTGAACATTACTTTATACAAAACATTATTTATTGCACATTATTTGCGCCATTAAATGTGCTAGTTTATTATTCATTCTCTGTTCCTACATTTTAGGAACAAAATGCATCTGTAATAATATAAAAGAAATCGAAAATTCAGAAAAATATTATATATATATATATTGGGTCATCTAAAAAGTATCCGCGGTTTTTTGTCACTAGATGTGTGTTGATGGTCATATATCTAGTGACAAAGTACCGCGGATACTTTTTAGATGACCCATATAATTGAAAAGATTACGACAAAAAGAGAAAGAATTAAATTCGTAACCAATGTGATTATACATATACTTAGTGCCAAGACACTACCATGTTTTCAGATATTATAATTAACCTGTGTATATTTTATGTTACATTTTTATTTTAATATTTTAAATACATTATTTATAAAGAATAAATTACTTTACCTCACATACAGATGAATTTTTTGACGGTGTCCAATTTTTATATTTGCCATTTATATTCTTTAACCAATTCATTCGGCGTTCTGTGTCTTTCGGAATTATTTTCATAACATATCCTTTTTTTAATGAATTGTTACAAAAACTGTATTGTACATTCAACCATATTTCTAAAATAATTTCGATAATTTTATTTTTATCAATGTACCTTTACGGATCTGTCGTTCAATGCTGTTACATCTGACCCTAAAACTGACAGTCTGTTGGATAGACTGAGACCGTATATCTCTTTCTCTCTCGCAGAATTTCGCTAAAATATGACGTATCTCTCGTATGGCGTCATTCTGATTATAGGCTCTCTAATTCTTACTAGAGAGAAACCTGAGAGAGGACATGACGGTCCAAAACCGCAAAATGTTGCTGCGCACTACTGCCCTCTGACAAAGTAGATGTAAACTACATAGCTCTGAGGGTAATACGTCCACTTCTCTGAAGATAATACGTCCACTTTTCAATTCCAGATGATAAATCGATAATTGGTTCATATAATCGTGCTATATTCACAAATTGTGCATCAAAAATATTCATCTCTGCAATCTTACATGCGCGTAATGTTTATTTCGCTTAAAAGTAGTAGTATTAAGGTTATATTATATTTTTATAAATGTATTAATATTTATATTTGAAATAAGCTATACATCCCATATAGCACAGAAGATTGAAGCAATATTGCTGCAATATTGCAATGTAACATTGCAGAGATATTACAGAAATGTAAATTATAAATATGCCTGCAAAATGTCAGTATGCTTGTAATATTCCACAAACATTCAAAACTGTAATTCTTTAATTGTTACAATAATAACAATATAAAAATATAAGTTTTTATAGTATTTATGTAGCAATAGTTTAATAGTCGTTTTTATGATATAATAATTAATATAATCCAATTTATATTTAAATAAAGAATTTATCGATCTATTATTTCATAGACATTTCATTAGCTAAGTTTTATATTTATTTTAAATGTGAAATCAAAAGATTGTACATTGAGTTTGAATACAATCAATGCATTATTATCGGATAAGATGATAAGCAATTAAGCTGCTAAAAACAATTTATCGAAATATTAATTATGTGATCGATGATGTACTTATGCCTAATGTGAAGACAAAAATAAACCAGCACGTGAACTTTATTGATAAATTTCATATCATAAATAAATTTCATTTTTTAATCTTTATCGATTTTAAATAACTCAGAGTAGTTTCGAATTTAAAAAAGTCACTGCGATTAACTTAATTCATGATTAACTTACCAAGAGACTGTATTATTATATTAATGTGGATAATATTTGTGTAGTTTGTTCGGGGTACACACATACATGCTTTATCCTTACGAATAAATTTATCCTTCAGAATTAATACTATATTTATCAGAATATTTTATGGTTTTATCATTAAAAACTTGCTTTTGAAAAGCATATATCAATAGAAATGCGATTTGTAGAAAAATTAAAGTTAGTGAGATATATGTATAGAAATAGTTTAGAAATAGTTTTCATTTCGAGTTTTCGTAAAAAATTTATCCAAATACATTACAATGCAATATTGTTGGAACGTTTTGTTATAATAAAATAAAAAGGGGACATCTTAACATTGTTGGAATTTTGCAACAATGATTCAGCAACGTTTCGCAATATTGTAACTTTTCAGTGAAATTATTCTGCAATGTTTCCGCAATCTTTTCGCTCTGTATGGGACATGAATTAAGTTGTATTTCAAGCATTTTATTTTTATTAAACACATTCTTATAATTTATTTATATTATTTGATATTATTTTCTTATTGCTAAAATTTGAAAAGCATAAAATCACAAAATTAATTTAAACTCTTTTTATAAGTTCTTTAAGTGTTTAAGGTGTTTATTATTTTCTTATTGCTAAAATTCGAAAAGCATAAAATGACAAAATTAATTTAAACTCTTTTTATAAGTTCTTTAAGTGTTTAAGAAGATGCTGGAGTGTCCTGTTTTATCATTAAATTTTAAAAACACCTTTCTCATAACTGTGTTTATGGACTGAAAAATCCTTCTCCACAATTAAAGTATCGACAACAACGCAAATAGCTACATTTGAATACGAAAAACGAAAAAAAATTAAAGACTTACAGTTTTGTTATCGGCTTCTGTAGTCAACACATCACAATATGTGTTGCATATAAGAGTTTCAGATCTTGCACGTTCATGAAAAGTAGCTGGCGAATTGCGGAAAACCTAAACGAACAATCCCATGTTTTTAGAAACGCGATAGGAGTTTTAGTTTAAGAGAAAGGTGCATCCGAAAATTTCGTTTGTATATTACGAGTGAAATTGACGTGAAACCATGAAACTGAGCAGTATTTTAGTTCCGCGATATTCAGCGGCGCTGTCATGAAAAGTGCGTCGCTGAACCATAGAAATGATCTGAATTATCGATCTACTCAGGCCCATATCAATAAACGTGCCCTGGTCAAAGTTTTTTCTTTTGAGGAAAAATAATAAAATAAATTTGATATTAGTTATTTCAATTTTGTTGAAATAATTTCTTCCTAAACAAGAAACATACCATATTATTTACGTATGAATACAAATGAAGATAATTATTTTAATTACACTGTTCCATCTTTTACATACATTTTATTTAATAAATTATTGATGCATATATATAAAATAACATATATATATATGTATGTATATGTATGTATGTATATAAATATATGTATATATATATATATATATATAATATATAATAGCATAAATATACACGCGTGTGCGTATGATGCGTATGCGCGCGCGCGCGCGCGTGTATGTGCGTGTATGTGTATGTACATATATACAACACATGTCTAAACTTTATTTAATGTATGTATGTATATAAATATATGTATATATATATATATATATATAATATATAATAGCATAAAAAATACACACGCGTGCGCGTATGTATGCGTGTGCGCGCGCGCGCGCGTGTCTGCATGTACATAGATACAA